AAAAAAAAAAAAAAAAAAAAAAGCAATTGCGAAATTAAAAATTAAACTAATCTAATCTAATAATAAGTTTCATTGTAAGAATATATTTATCTCATGAATAGATTACGAATGTTCATTATGTATTTATAGAAAATTTATAAGGGTTCAAAGTTTTATACGATCTAAGAATTTAATTCCACGTAATGAACAATAAAGGAAGAAAAATAAAAAATTTCGGATGGAAATGAGAGAAACATTGTATTTCTCGAATCTTCACTCACTTCGCCGTTACTTTCGAATCGTAACAGGTTACTTTCGATTCTATCTGGCGCACAATGAACGATTGAATTCATTATCCTGTCCAAGTTAATTCCACTTTGATAAGAATTATATAATATTTAAACTCTTACTTGGGCCTGCATTTCCTGCGTCACATCTAGGTTATTTTTTCCCGGATATGGAATCGTGATATCGATAATGTTAGTCCATGACTGAGCCCAAATATTTCCTGTTAATATTAATTATATTTTAAAAAATATTTAAAAATATGACAATAATATCGATATTATGGAACATTTTAGAATTGAAATTGTATTAGTACCAAGAATATGAGCTGGAAGAAGAGCATGAGTGCCGATCTTCTCGGGTCCGTACAAGTCCCTTAATTTCCTTCGAATATACGCGTGTAATTCTTCGTAAAGGGGACGTATCATTTCCCAAATTTCATCGATATCTTGTTGCAGATTGGGAGATTCGTAAGGAAACATCCAATATTCTGCCGCGTCGGTGAAATCTGTGTGATTTTAAAAAAATAATAATAATTTCTTCCAATTCTCAATTATTTCAGCCACATTTATCCAGCAAATAGATTCTAAAATCATGATACGAATCGATGCTACACAAGAAACAATTAGATATGCGAATAATTATAAAATCAACGGGTGGAGAACAAAGGAAAAGTAGTATGAATTTGTCGAAAGATTGAAAATCTCTGCACTCTGCACAATAAGTTAATTTTCAATCATACTGTTTAGTTTAGCTGCCTCATTGTTCAATGTGACAAGTTGTTGATATAGATCCTTGATCCTCATGCCGCTACGTCTTCTCCATTCCGTCCAAACATATTGCAACTCATCCCAGTTGCGACTTTTCGCCATGATCTGCGATATATCTACGAAATAACGTAATTCAATATTATTCTTCGAACAAACAAGACTAGATATTAATCGTCATGCAAGACGACGTTCAATTTATTTATACAGAATCGTATTTCAAATAAGATTTTTTAACTCGATCGATTTTCACGATAACCATAAGATTGATAGCCTCTTGTGACACGAACAACTGGCATAGTTTTAAGTTGAATAGATCTGAAGTATCCATATTTTGTTGTGAATTAGAGATAAACGAATATCAGTTGTAATGAACCATTTTGTTTTGGACATTATAACAAATGTTATAGATTTAATCGTACTTCAAATAAGATTCTTTAACTCGATTTTCACGATAACCATAAGATTGATAGTCTCTTGTGACACGTATAACTTATATAGTTTTAAGTTGAATAGATCTGAAGTATCCATATTTTGTTGTGAATTAGAGATAAACGAATATCAGTTGTAATGAACCATTTTGTTTTGGACTATAACAAATGTTATAGATTTAAGCATAAGATAATTATAAATGTAAGTTGTATGGATTCAAAACTCTATAACTCTAAGTTTCTCATAAAACGTCAAAATTATTATAACAGTATATAAATTTGATTATATCAAAATCATATCCTGTACAATTTTTATTTTATAGATTTTATAGGTTAAAGTTACATAATTTCAAGTTTAATTACAATTATTCAATTTTCGATATCGATTTTCCTGAGCAAAATAATCTATCTTTCCGATCTTACCCGTATCCACTTTTATTATTCATTATTATCCATAATGAATCATTATTATTCATAATGAAAATATGTTACGTGTTCGTCCTTAACCAGCGATATGTGACGAAACGATTTTTCAAAGACATAGAAGATCATTTTTTTAAGGCAGACCATCTTTATGGAATATAATCGATAAAATCGTCGAATGTTTAAAAGTTATTTTTTTTTTTTTAAGTCTGCAACTCACATCATTGTTATCGATAAAATCTCGATCTTCTAGATCTAAATAAATCGCGAAGACAGAATCTTTAAAGAAGATCATAAAATTCGTTTCTGTCTCGTTGATTGTCTCCTGCAATTTACGAGACATCGTTCATTATACGTATCTATTTATATTCCATCTTACAACGCAAAAAAAAAATCGTTTCTGGATGATCTAAGAGATTAAATAGAAATTAATCCTTTTATCTTTGGAAAGAGAAATGATCCGAGTAGATAGAGCTAAGAATATTTTCCATTTTCCGTCGAAACACGTACACGCGTGAAAGAAAAAGAGAAATTATAATGAATTTTCATGAATCCTCCTTCTTTTAACGCACAACGATGAAATATTTATCGTTCATTCGTGTTTACGTGTTAGAGAGGCACTTTCTTATGCGTAACAACCGCTTACGCGTATCGTGGCAATTTCGCCGACTACCAGCCGTGAAAATCGTATCGTTGTTTGTTTTTTCCTTCACGGACAATTCGAGGATATTATTCATTACCTGGATACAGCCGCAGCCCGCACCGGAAGGGATCGTTGTACGCGCAAATGGTAGCCTCGTTGTACACTGCCAGCATATCGTTGATCACGCGATTGTACTGAAAAAAAAAAAAGAAGAAGAAAAATAAGGAAGAAATGAGAAAGGAGGAAAAGTAGGAGAAAAAGGAAGGAAAGAGAAAATATTATTGGGAGAATAAATCGTAAGGAAAGAAATATAAAAAGGAAAGATGGAGAAAATTTGTGTCTCGTAGATTGTTTTTTCCTTTCCTCTTTTTTTCTTTATTGTTGAAAAAAATAAGCATTTATTATCGTTAGGAAATGAAATTTATACTTCCTATTTGAAAGAGTCTGTTACGCGACTAACTAGAAACGGAAGTGAGTGATGGAGTGAATAGATTCGATTGCTTTTTTTTCGTTTGTTATTTTTGATTTTTCTTTTTTTCCGCGGAGATTTGCGTTTTTAACGAGTAATCGAGTTGATTGTTTTATTCTTGCTATTATTCATGTTTCTTACATTCATATTTATAGACCATAAAAAAAAACAGAGTATATTATACTATATCCTTTTTTTTATATTTTTTAAGTATGTATATTAAATTCTTCATTTTTTACACATAAAATCACTTCCTTCTTATCTATTAGAAACAATGTAGCAGATAAGAAATCAATAAAAATCGATTTATCAAATGATGATGATTTTCATGTATTAGGTAATTGTTATTTACCCTGTCCAATTGATCCGGTGGAAGAGCCGATGGACCAACCACAGACAAATATCTGAGACGTCTTCTGATCACAGGATCTCTGATATTATTTTTATCGATCCTCGAAATCAGGAACCAAGCCTGATTCTGAAAGTCTGCGTATATTCTCTGAGCTTCGAGCTGGAAACAAATATTTTTTATCTTGTTACTTAAATATGCTCAAAAAATCGATTTTATAACATTATTTAATTTTTATTCATCGATGATGGTATTATTTTGCAATGGAATATGCAAAGTCTTGTATCGAATAGCAAGGTAGTAATCAGTGTGGAAGGCGCTTGTCCATGTGGAACTGGTTCGAAGTGCAAATCGACCAACGCCAGGTTTACCGTTACCGATAAACACAGTTATCTTCACTCTTCATAGGATTAGAGATAGACGAAGGCGTTGAAGGAAAGGAAAATACTCGAGAAAGTGGACACAGGTTTCTTTATAGGTCATTGAGAAACGTTCAATCGTCATAGAAGAATTCTGATTTAAAAGGAAAAGTAAAATAAACGCCTAATTTTCATTTCACAGATACATATAAAGAGGAATGAAGAAAATTCTGAACGATTTCTTCTTCAATTTTCCTCTCCCCTCCCATTCCTAAACCTCTAAGAAATAAAATCATCTTTTCGAAAATCATTTTGTACATTTATTAAACATATTAAAATTATCGAAGAATTCGAGGTAAAAAAATTAATTCATTAATAATATTTTGGTAAAAATAAATTCCTTTCCATAAATTCAACAGATCTCTATTAGAAACCAGTACATATTCAAACTCTTGAACATAGAATTAAGCAACATCGAAGAAAATCTCATGCCTTCGACATCGTCTCGATAGACGAGTTTCCCCAAGTATTGAAGAATAACGAAGGAAAAGAAGAAGAAGAAGAAAAACGAAGACACGACTATTATCATTAGCATCACGCGACTAACATAGCGGATTTCGCGTTGAAGGCTGAACATTTCCATTCCGACTTGGACTGATGTTCCGTTGCGAAATCATTTGGGATACACCGATGCCACAATGGGAGCCGGTGGGAATATTTCCCGCGAAGGTGTTCGGCCCCTAAGCGGACAACAAAGGCCGGCCACCGAGGAAACGTGCACGCGAAATCGCGATTCCCCGCGATCTGACAGCCGCGATGACGTCTCTCACGGAGCGGGTCGAGGTCTCAGTGTCATCGAGCAACATCGAACGATCGCGGTGCACGCTGTTGGAATACACGATTTTAGGATACGTCTTAATTTATTATGTCTAACTCTTATGCCTGATCTTGAGAAAAGGATATGTCCGAACGTGAGAATTTTGTAATTGACTGTGTCGATTATTGAAGATATCTTGAGATAATTTGGAATTATTTAATCGTGTGGATTATCGAGATAAATGGTTTTGAAATGTCCAAATTAAACGTTTCGTTAAGCGACGAGGATAATTAAGTCCGTGGACAGACGAAGAGGCTCGTTAGTTTATGAGGTTGATTGAATTAATTCCAACTGAATTCATTGCGGTAAATTGGTGACTTTCGGAATGGAAAGGAAGAAAGTTGAATGATAACGGATCCGATGATAAACCGGACCTCATCGGTACTTTTTACCGAAACTCGAAAATTGTTATCGCATATGCGGGTGTTTCGGTCACGAATTCGTGGAAATTGTAACTTAAATTACACATGGATGGAATTTTAAATAGAATTGAACAATATACCGGTGAATATTTCGCATACTCACCGCCTGTATCTGAGTGTATTCGTTCACGTCCGTTTCGTAGGACCATTGCGCAGCCACGTTTGCGCTGCATCTCTCGGTACCAAGGAAGTCCAATCTGGCTAAAATGTCTTGCAACTCGGCTTCCGTAGGTGGAAATCGCCTGCCAAAATTATCGCGAGAATTCTCATTCAAGGACGGTATATCCAGCTGACCGTGAACCAAGGAAAATAAACCGAAAAGAATCCAAGAAGGCATCATCTGAAAAATATAAGAAGAAAAAGTTAGAAACAATGGCTCCATGTCTACAGAGCAGAAATTTCTTTCATATTTCTTCCTAATGTGTTCCCATCGATCGCTATTACGCCGATGGAAGATATTTGTGGCGCCAATATCGAACGTATATATCGATAGATATACGTCAATAAAAATAAACTGTTCTTTTCAATGTTACACGCGATTCGTTCGTTCTTTCTTCCGTTTCAAAAATATATCGAGGACAATGAACCTTCCCTGACAATTCTTTAAAAATTTGAAAATTTGACTCCAAATCAATTACTCAAAATAAATAAATATGCCAATTGCGCGATTTGAAATAACGAGAAATAACAGATGAATTTGACGATCATTAGTCTCAATGGTAAGATATTACATTGCTTTCGTAAATCATGCCCAGCGCGTTGCATTACGAGCGAAACGTGCAATTTACGTGCAATTGATTTGTCGACTTCTTGGTTATTACGTCTTCGCGTTACGTATTTCCTCCTTTCAGCATGAAAGGCTATTCATGCAGAGTAGTGGGTCATCTACGATCGCGCACCGATCCTGCAACCTTGAATGTTTGATCCTCGAGCACGATTGCGATGCAATTTAATCGACTCGTGAGAAACTTGCTATATATACATATCTTAATCACGGATTTCTCAATTAGTAGCCTCCATTCAATTCTAGTATTTTTTTTATTAAATTTATACATGCACTTCTATTAAGATGAAAAAAAAATCTCATTATCCATTGGAAAACGTATACGTTAGAAGAATTGTACAATTCCACCACATCAAATCTTAAGAAAGAAATTTAAACTTCAAATCTATGCACTTTCTCTCTCTCACAACAACAACAACAACAACAACAACAACAAACTCATGAAACTAACTCCAATTAACAGATTCACCGACCCATACGATCAACCCCTCCCCAAATTTCCATCCTATTCACGTGCAACACTTTCACCCTCCTACAGAAACCTTCTTCCACATCCTCCAACGTTCCTCCAATCCAAAACGTTGTCAATAATTCATTGGCGAAGTCATCGACGACAATTCTCGATTCGAAGAGGAAGAGACTTACTACTACCGATCTTTTCATCCCCTTAGCGGCCGAACGTTGCACGTAATTTCTCTCTTTGGGGCCGTCGTCGATCGAGCGCGCCGATCTCAACGATTCTGGACAATGAGACGCGGCGATGATTGTTGTTGACGAGCGGCAGTTTCGTTCTGCCGTTGCTAAAAGCCTCGTGGCCGACGCCAAGTGTACATTTATCCCTGCGAAGCAGTTCGACCACGGGGGAGGTCATCCGTGGCGAGAGGTGGGGATCCGCGTGTGCACACCTTGGTGTGTCGTCGTCGCGTCGAGGATGTCTCGATTCGTGGACAAGCGTGGGAGGATGGAATTGGGCCTTGGGAAAAATGGTAGAAAAAGAAATGACATTTTTGTCAACGATAAGATCGAGCTCGTGAAAACGGTCCATCGTCGAGTTTCGGTAAAAGACGATCGATAAGAAAGAAACTTAATTGATTAATGCAATGGAATGTTAGAATGTTTCGCAGTATTCGTTTTTGTCACTGATTATCGTGATTCTGAACCAAGAAGAAGAAGAAGTGAAACTGAAAAATTTAATATTTGAGATCAGGGCACTCGTATTAATTTTTCTTACTGATCGCAATAAATTTTTTCTGATGATAATATAGTTTCAGTTGCAGATTGAGGATAATATTGATTTATGAGCCTGAGTTTACGATATGGACTGAAATCATCGGCACGAATCCGTTCTGATTAAATAGGTCAGAGTTTTTGCCGCTCTTTTTATTCAAATGACATTGTTTCTTTTAATGCATAATAGTTATATATATATTTTTTTCCTTCGTATTATTTTTAAAACCTTCATTTAAATTGACCACCATTCGTTATTTTTTTTCTTTTTTCAAGTAATTGAAAATTACATTAAGAGAAGAGGTTCGTTGACTCATATGGAAATCTCATACGAGGCACGTCGATTAAGAAGAAATTCGACGTTGCTACGACAAAAACAGGCCAGTGAGAAGGCTACGGAGGAATCAACCTGCTGGTCGATTACGAAAGCTCCAAGCTCTCACGTTGACAACCGTCGTCCTACACGTCGTCGACCTCTCTCTCAATGAGTCTCATTGTCTGGGAGCCGGGCACGCGCCTCTTTTGCATCTTGTAACAATTTTTACATTCGTCCTTCAGCTTTGTCGGGTCATTGCATCGATCGTTTTCATCTCGAAGGATCGATTAAAAAGAATCGAGACTCGTCTTTTGGTAAATTAGAAAATTTTGGAAAATTTATTAATCTTTGTGAGAAGACCACTCGTCAACGAAAGAGTTTCGCTGTGATTATTATAGTAATCGATCAAAATTGATAGAAGATGGGATGGATGGAAGATAGATCGAGACTTCTGAATGATGGATGATGGGGTATAATAGATGTTATTCTCGATTAGATTAAGGGATGAAATGGAACGATAAGAATTGTCGTTTATTTGATTACGAAACGCGTTACAAAGGAAGTTACAGAAGTGTTAGGAAGAAGTGACTATTGAAAAATATTGACGATAAAAAAAAAACTAATAACACGATTTGCATATGAAACATCAATCGACGAATTCTATGAAAGTGGAAAAAAAAAATGAGTCGATTCACGCGAATGATTCATCGTTATCCGCATGCCTAATTACGCAATTATCTTTAAGAGAGAATCTGATCGGTGTTGCTTCCTGCTTCGACTACTTGTACCTCCCTGAGAATTCTTAAACACCATTGTGTCACCGTCGCATCAGCCTTTAATTGAAATCGTGACTCATAATTTTGCAAGTTTTTTAATAAACATTGCAATGGTCGTGAGAAGTCGACAGGGTTGAAATTGCACGTTTAATACTCATTGTTCGACAGTCGTTTTTCGACTCGTGATTAATCTTCCTCCGTTTCTATTTTTTTTTCTTTTTTTTTTTTTTCAAGCAGACGATGATTCAGTATTTTTAATAATATGAGATAATCGCTGTGAATTGGCATTGTGTCTAGTCGACATAAAATTAATCGTAAAGATTCGAGTTTATTACAATTTTTAATAATTGTTAATTTAATTTAAATTCCTCTTTATAGGAAACCAATCACTCGATATTTACATATCTTTATTGCCAATCAATTCCAATCGTGATTCGATCACAATTTTGTAAATAATATGATAAAAACCGTGGGAAACAATGCGAAGAAAAATGAATGATTAGTATTAATCGCGAGCATTTGTTCAAGGTGATCGCCATGCACTCGTTTTCATCGATCGTGAAACGTGCGTCCACATGCGTGACGCATCATCTTGACGGAGATTAAACCCGTAGATCGGCAAGAAATCCGATAAACAACCGCACCCTGACGAGGATAGTCTCACGATGATTTGAAAAACGGCTAACATTTATCGTTTATAGCACGTCGGACCTTGAATTACTGTTGGCGAAGTTTTGCTATTCGTGTATACGTTTTATTCCATATATAATTGAGCTAGTTGCTTGCGCAACGCGGGAATTGTAAAATTGTTATAAATAAGTTTTGTTTCCGAGCGAGAAAACAATTTCATCTATGCGGATTCTAAATTCTATCTTTTTCGTTGCGCTTTGCTAAAGTGATTCGTATTAATAAAAAATAAGATCTATTCTACGATTTTCAATCTTTCGTTTTGTCCAAGAGATGGAAAAATAGATTCTATTCAATTTCTTCAATTGTTCATTCGAAGGAGAAGAACGATATTTAAGGATTTACCACAGGTTTCGAAAAATACAAGATCACGTATCGCGCGCACGTAACCAATTACCGGGGTCTTCGCAAGCGAAATTGAATTAACGCGGAGAAGGAATTAACGAAACGCAAATTCAGGCCTCAATGCCGCACCAGAAGCGGTAACGCAATATCGTGGTTTTTACTTTAAAAGCGCGCCTCGTGTTCTCCCAGCACAACTTCGACAATGCTAATCCTGTCAAGAGATAAAAGGTACACCGGTCCCACGCACTGGCCCCAATTCTGGGTTCAAGTACGCCACCGTTTACGAGACGCATCCATGCGTTTCTTCGACTTTTTTTTGTCCGTGGTTAATACATCTTTGCGTGTATTTTTTCGAATTAAAACATATAAAGATAGAACTCTACTTACTTAGGTTTTATTCATATAAAACAGAAGGATTTTTCATTTAAATTTAAATTGGAATTGAGGTTTAGATAGATGAATTTGATCGTATTTCTAACGAATCTCCATATCATATCTTGTGATCTCTATCTTGAATATATTTTCTAAAGAATCTTTCATTTTTGATTTTATTCTTTTTCTTTTTATCACTTTGTATTTTTCTTATTTCATTATTCGTTTCTTCGTTTGAAAATCAAAGTTATACGACATAAAATAGGTCTATTTGCGAAGCAAATTATGCAAAGAGGGAATCATAAGATTCACCAACTAACAATTTAAATATCTCCACTTTAAATAACAATAACAAAGTGATACGTAACATTTATATTTACACAGGACAGAAAAGATTGAGCTAATTAACGAGCTAACTAATACATAATATATACGTTTGTTGACGAATGTAATATAACGCAATACATATATATACAATAAAAAAAATAATCTTCATGATATTTCCTCAACATCCACATTTCCTTAATGTTATCTACGTTACCATCGAATCTTCATCTAAATTTATTTTTTACATTCACTCTTTCGATATACACACGATTGCAAATCATCGTGTATCTTTCACATTGCACTGTAACTACGAGTCACAATACGAAGACAGAAAACGGCGATTGTCAGCGTTAGGACAAGGCAAACCGATGAAACGTGGGAAAACGGTGATACGTGTTACCGGTATTACGCGAGCACGCTCAAGAATTATTCAAAATGCAACGTTATGAAGACGGCAAGGCCGAATCGACTAAATGATTGAATCCTTTTTATCGATCAGTCAGTTTGGGTGAAGGTTAACGACGCGTTCGCGGAAATGGAAAAACGAAAAGAAGAAAAGAAGCTCGTAATCAGGATTAAAATTCAATGTGGTAGACTTAATTGTAAAAAAAGACCAATTTGAACATTTTTAATGAAAAATGAAAAAAGTGATCTTTTTGATTGCATTTCATCTCGGTTCGAAAATTAAATAAAATACACTATACCTTTGGACGAGTTGTAACTTCTGAATATTTTGTTTCATAGCCGAATCGTAATACGACACTGCCATAATTTAATAACTTGAACTTCGTTGACGCTTGAATAATGATAAATAATGTCTGTGTCTTTCTATTTTTTACTCTTCTACCTGGCAAATCGATGTAAGGATTAAATTCATAAAAGACATTTTTTCTTTTAAAGGAATGTAGAACTTTTACTTTTAATTAATTTTTCTATGATAACAAAATGCAGACCGTATCTTTGCCATTTCGTGTATCGCGCAATGCTCCAGTGTGCACGACTTTTTTGTTCTATGCTTGACAGTTTTCACTATGTTTTCACTACGCAGTCATTAAACGTGATTGCACATTCTCGTTTATGTCTGTTTCGAATCGTGATGATTGGGCAATCTTCAATCTTCTTTTCCTCATACAAAATAAATATCAATATAAATTTAGAAAAATATGATTAAAATATGAATCATGGACAGTATTAGAAACGCATATAAAACGCTTGTAATAATATGAAATACCGCAATTAGTTTTATCTTTGAAGATTGACGATACGAAGTCGGTAAATACAATTAGAATAATTATTTTTGTTCGTCGATCAATTATCAATAAAAGAAAAATCATTTACAATGTGATTAATAGTAATTAGAGTGATTACTTACCATTAATACGATCATTTATAAAGGAAGAATCATGGAATAAGAATGTAGATGTTATGTAAAGAAAACCATAAAACTTCGATAAAGAAACGGAAGAGATAAATAGCCGTTTTATTGAATACTTTTGATTTGATCATTGCCCTCATTTTTTCCATTGTGTTATCTTTTGTACGTCGCTTTTAAACCATTGTCTGTGAAGACATGTATTCAATACATTTTTACATTATTCCATAATACTTCTTCCTGTCTATATATTTTTCTTTCTTCGAGTTTTCAATGTAAGTCGTTTTATTTTTGACGTGCAAGTCACAATAGAATAGAGCGTTTCTGAATGACTATTCCAAATCGTTGATTGCAAGGATATCTATTTCTTGATTCTTAATTA